GATATACGGAAAGTCTGTGCATCAGTTGATAATAAAGTGGATTTGCACCCTTACACAGTATTTTGTAGTCGCATCCCCATTATAACTCACGAACACACATTATACCCACTGTCACCTTACCATCGTGACGTCACAGATAACGAGCGTTGTGTCGCTGATCCTGCAATATTCTGTACGACAGGTGACACAGACAGTTTTAAAATATTCTTCAAAAGTTGTATTTTACATGCCATTTTGCGGCGGAACTTTTGCTGCACTATGCACAGGCTATCGTTAGATTTTGTTCCGCCATCTACAGGGAAGAAAAGTTATGAAAGTATAACCAACTAAAATCAAGATGATACTGTAAGGGTGTAAGGGTAGGCATGATATAAATTTTATAAATTTATATTTCAAAAAAAAAAATTGACCTGACATTGACTTGATATATTTATACTTACATATATTATAATAATGTAAGTATAAATATATCAAGTTGTGACAGTTATATTCATCCAATTTATTACGCATATACGCACTTTATAACTATTTTTCTCGCGAGATGGCGCCAAAGAGTCATTTTTGAGCACAGTTCACTTCGGGTACTTGCATTTTCTCAAACTGCATGCAGCGCCCCCTCCCACACTCAGGATAATATACGAGAACAGACCACATCCTACATAAGATCCTATACTTAAGAATTGAATTTCAGGAGCTGAAAAATAGTATTTCGACCGTTTTCGGCCGAGTGGCAATATTAACGCTAGGTAGCCATGTACTTCAGCTGTGCACCATTAGAGTTATGACATATGTTGTCCAGCGTTTTAAAAAAATATCGCGAATTTACTAACCGACACCACATTTGTGCCTGAAAAACAGTCGCGCAGTCGAATGGGGGCCATACATTGAAAGAATTCGTTTTAAATTACCAGTAACCATCCACCCATCTCAATGTGCATGTCCATCTAGTGGAAAGTGTGGGTACTTGCATTTTCGTATGCCATTGGATGGTGGCGCCCCAGTGGAAAGAGTGCGCATGCATCGAATTCTAAGCGGTAGAGAATCATTTAGGGGGAAAGCGAGAGAGAGAGAGAGAGAGAGAGAGAGAGAGAGAGAGAGGGATTTGCTTCCTGGGTTTATACTACTGTCAAACACTTAATATAAATAAATACCTCTAAGATCAGTCAATATAATTATTTAAAACCAACCATTGGGCCATTGGCATATATATTACCACGACATTTGTCAGAATTACCTCTTGATATTCCATATCTTCCATTCGCTTCAACCTTTAGTACAAAGCCACAAAATAAAAATGTCCTTTTCGAATTGATAACTCACGATTGCCTTCATGAACATAATTTTTCTATTTAGAGGCTGTCAACTGGCATAAATTATGTAACTGAATTTATAGACACTGCAGAGAGGCCCACGAATGCACAGTAATTATTCAAAATAGGTATCATTTATTACATAAAGGTATCATTCCCGAAACACATTGAATATAATTACACTGCTTTGCAAACTCTCGCTCAAATCTATCTAGATTCAGCTGCCTTCTACTGCGCTGAGGATTTTCTGTACAATGGAACTGATTGCTGTTGCTGTCGGTGACTGGGAGAAGAGCTGCGAGAAATTTTGCCCATCTTCCAATGATTGTGTCAGGTTTGGGTCGAGAGGAATGCAACCTGGAACAAAGAAATCACAATTAACAACAAAGACATAGACTTGCTACCGTTGTTAGTGATTTGACATCTAACTTCCAGAGAGAAACATTGAAAGAAACTCATTGAGAAATATTAGTAGGTATATGGATCCATATAGAATATTGAGTCCCATGTGAATTTCTAAAGAACCACCATATACCAGGGGTAGAAATTTACTTTTGAACAAGGGATTCCAACGGACTCCCTACCCTCAAAAAGAGGAAGTCCGCAGCAAAATGAGGAAGTCCGTAGTCTGAGGTTCAAATTTAAAGATATTAACAATAACGCATGTGCTTATTTTTAAGATTCATGCAGTTGCATGTCTGCCAAATTTTCTTTGGACATTAGCTGAAAAAATACAGTAATTCTGCGAGGCCATGCTCTGGAACTGAACTAGTTAGTATGGCAGAATTTTCAGGGAGTCACACGGACTCCTGCATATGTCAAATCAGGGAGTCCGACAGTAAATCAGGGAGTATTTGACTCTGGACTCCCGTTAATTTCGCACCCTCATATACCCCAATGGCTGCTGATTATATGGAAACATGCTAATACAATTTTCAAGTCTGAAATGCAGCAAGACACACCTAAAAAGGGTACTTTTGCTTCTTCTGCCAGCCCTTCTCCTCCTCCTTTGGAGAAGACATTCGTGCATTCCTAGAACCAAACGGAGAAACATAAAAATCTAAAATCATTCACTTGAACCTCGACCAAATAAATGCAATCTCTGAACGTCATACATATAAGTAGATACTATATTACAATGTATTCTATGGTTGAACTTACAGAGCAATGAGGACACACGAATCCGCTCATATTTTCTACGAGTCCCAGCACGGGAATTCCTGTCTTCTTGCAGAACGTGATCTCCCTTCTCACGTCTCCCACCGACACTGCCTATGAAGAGAGGTGACACGTTCAGGCTCAATCTGAATCACTCTTGCTTAGATGCATCTCGCAGGAGACTAACACTTGTGTAACACAGGTAGTTACGTGAACTTAAAATTTGTCTGCCACTGTGGGAATATGGTTCGTGTGCATGCCCGCACACATGCATGCACACACCCTGATTCTGACTGATCAGAGATAAAGAAAAAATAAGGAATGTTGTGCAAATATGAGAGCAATTATCATACAATGCACATTACTCTTGAACTTCTCTGCACAAATTCGTACTCAGAATTAAAATTGTTCATGTAAACATCAAGAATAGCATAGGGATCTTCCATTGTACCGGATCACCGGCGTTCGGCAAACATAAAACTACACTGCTGTGCATGAGTGTAAGCGAGAGACCGGACCTGCGGGGTCGTGACGAGGATAGCACCACGCAGGTTGTCACAGCGTCGCAGATTCTCGACGACGGTGATGTGTTCGTCTGACGTTCCGGGTGGCGTGTCAATGACGAGGAAATCGCGCTCCGTCCACATCACGTCCTCGAGGAACTGCTTGATCATTGCTGCAACATTCAGTTCATCGTGATTGTAATAATCCTTAACTTTATCATAGTAAAATACCACAGCATTACTCAACCACAGTTCAACTGCCAGAAATATAACACATGATAATTCACATCGCCGCTGAGAAATGCCAAGCTGATGCACGAAGTAATGGCCTAATACAGTCAGACCTGTATATGAGATTCACTCAAGGGAAATGCCAGAAAATTCTCCTTTACAGACAGGTTTTGGTTTATAGAGGTTGGGTTACTATTATAATTGTCAGTCAAGAAAAATTCTAAGTCACTGGACATATTTAATGGTTGCTTTTATTTTCATACATCTGTCCCACTGGTAGTAGAATTTTTCCCATGATCTTCTGACAGCTTTAGTTCAAATTAGAGCATATATAAAGAAGACAGAAGTCCCTTCAACAGAAAACCCACCATTTTTCTTCGGTCCTCGCCACACCACAGCCTCATCTCTATTCTGCAGTAGGAACCCTATAGACATTACAGCAAGTCTCTGCTCAGTGTCTGCAAACACAGGCACCCAACTACAAATACAATAAAAAATGTTATTCATTATCTATGACTAATAAACCATCACACGTACGTAGATTGCTCACATGTCATCAGGAGTGTAGAATATAGATATATTAATATCAGGAGTGAATAATAATACATTATTATCTAGATATAGTATTATACACTTTGATGTTATAAGTCTTATGAAAACATTATTGGTAGGATTTTTATACAAACAGGTATGTATTCATCTTGACACTCATTAGTAAGATGTACATCTACAATCAATACTACATAGCATGTACAGCTGGTATACAGATGTGTTAGTGTAAGGCTTACCCCTCTGGGCACTGATGCACATCTTGATTCTCCAAATTCAACATTCTGGGAATACTTGGTCCACATAAGTCAACATCCAGTAGACCTACCTGCATATAACACACATGATCTATAAACCTCTAAACCTATGTCTGATATATTGGATATCTGTAAACTACATTATTTATGAATTAAGAAGTCAGTATTATTAGCTAGATTACTCTATAATTACAGGTAATGTTTAGAATAAAAAATCATACCAAGGTAGATCGATATTAGTAACCAATGTACTGCCTATCGGACCGATGAAAATTTTGTACTTATGTGCCAAAATGCTGGGGCGAATCAGTGATTGTAAATTAGTAATGTGTTTTATATTACATACCCTTTTTCCTGCATGCTTCAAACCAAGTGCCAGTTGTATTGCTACGGTACTTTTCCCTACACCACCTTTTCCCGACAAAACCAGGATCACATTCTTTACTGAGGAAAAGTGCTTTTTATTTTGTTCTGCAGCTTCCATGCTTCCTTTGGTACTTCAGGTGATCTATATAATAATAGAATGGTGATAATCTTAATAACTCTCTCTCACGCAGGCACACACGTATGCGTGTGCACGTACACGCACGCACGCACACATACACACTCACACATCTACCTCTTTCTCTCCCGTCTCTTCTCTTCTTCATTAGTTGTGCCTTTGGTACAAATTTATATTTTCACGTTCTCATGATGCTGTGCATGAGACACGTCATTGTAACTCCCAGTGAGCGATAAATATGAGATAAAATATGGAATGGGGGTTAGGGACTGTGTGTAGTCGACTCCCTAAACTAGAATTATATTACTATTAACTATTAATAGTATTATGCGCATGCGCGTTGCATGTCGTAAGAATAGTCCAAACAATTTACAAATTACAATGATACATGTGTCATGTATGATGTACCACTCACGTCATGCAAAATTACACTGTCACTGTCACTACCACGGCACCTACACTACCCACTACCTCTAAAAACATTTTACGGCTCATATAAACGTAAATGATACAGACGCTATGAATATACCTATTACCTTATGATAAATTATGCAAACTGATAACGTAAAAGCGATTCCGCTTTGTAAAGACCAGTTTGCCTTAGTGTTTTATAGGGGTTGCCATTTTAGATTTCCCAGTATACACTGCGAAACCGTTGACATAAAAGCATCAACCGCGAGCGATTGAGCGCAGTTTCCGGTTTGTTTTCCGGGTGTTGACAGTTGGAAAAAGAAGAATGACAGCGGACACAAAATCGGCCCTCGGCAGCGCCGTAAGTCTCAAATTCGTGTAATCATTATAAACACAGAATCTTTATGTTATGATGAAGCATTTTCGAGATTAGTATGGCCAGGGATAACTTATATGTAGTGATATATATTATTTTACTTCGCGCATACTTGGGCGGTCACCGCCGGATTTCGATTTTGAATGAAATTTACGTTGGCTAGTACTAGTAGCCTATAACTTATAACTTATAAGTATAACTTGTCATTTTAGTTTATTATAATGTTGATCAGGTATATAATGAAGAATTTATTTTATGTATTTGTGAGGCTGTTAGTGTTAGAGATAATTGTCTATTCTGGTACGTGGATCTGTGTGTTGTGTTAGAATGAAAACCCGTCGAAATAACACTGATTGGCCCCTCACTGCTCTGTGTCCGTGTCCGCGTACACTCTATATGCTACAGTACAGTGCAGGCCATTGACCCAGATAATACTACTTTGCTAGAGTAGTATTTGCCCTATATCTACTTAGTTTGGTGCTAAGGAATCGCACTGTATAAGCTAGCAATATTTTGTCGTAGCGATTGGCAAAGTGTAGCCACTTTGTTCTAACATTTGCTCACAAGACACTGGTCTAATGATGAAGGTAACGTTTTTAGTGTCTGCGATAAGGGCATGGCATGCCATATGCTCAGTTCGTTGTCTTCCTGTGTAATCACGTTAGAATGCAAGAACTAGGTCTGTATTTGCATCTGAATGCTGGATAGGTGATGACCCGCCACGTCTCTAATCCACCTCATTGTTGTTTACTATCATTGCTGAACTAGCACTGCATTGAATGCGGTTTAAATTAGCGCAACGTGTGACCGTTCTGTGCGTTGATACACGTGCGTAGGTGCAAGGAAAATGTGTTGCTTGGACCATTACAACTGAACGTAGTGCTTATCGCAATGTTGTGCGGTACAGTTAACCCTCTATATCCAGTGAGAATTTCAAAAGTATCATTTGTAGATTGCTGTTTGTTATATATATAGAGAACTGGTTTCAAAGTATAACTATCACTTAAAGGAAACACCAAAAGGATTCCTTTATGGACAGGTTTCCCTTCTATAGAGCACTGGTTAGACTATATATATTGCTGCATGCTGATTCGTGTAACAACGGTAAGGAAACGTTTCAGGAGCACAAGGCGTCGAGTGAGAAGGTGCGAGAGATGAAGCTGAATGGACATGTTGGGTTCGACTCGCTTCCCGACCAGCTTGTGAATAAATCCGTGTCCCAAGGTTTCAGCTTCAACATCCTCTGTATAGGTAAGCTGCTACTGCTGCTGCTACTGCTGCTGCTACTGCTGCTGCTACTGCTGCTGCTGCTACTGCTGCTGCTACTGCTGCTGCTACTGCTGTTCACTGTTGAATGTTCGCGGTTATACTAACATAGATAAACATCGTGTTTACTGTTTTATTTTATTATGTATTAAAACATCAAATTAGATCATGTTTTACATATAGGTATAGATTTTTACATTCAAGTTTAGTTGATTAGTTTATATTTAGTTATATATATATGTGTGTGTGCGTGCGTGCGTGCGTGCGTGCGTGTGTGTGTACTTGTAAAATATTACTTGATCATATCAGGTGTTGTGCTGCCCTAATCTTGTCTTTCTAGTGTGTTTCTTGTATCGTGATGTCCCAATCACAAAGCTCAATTCTCTTGTCAGAAAAGGCAGGAATGTGAGAAAATGAGATAGTGGTCATGTCCAACACAGATTATAACAACTTGTTTGTTCGGTGTGACAAACTGGAGAATTTTCGTTGTGGGTTGGGAGAGAGGTTATATTACGGGGGTCATTTGATTTACAGATAGTGATAAGTCTGTAAGTGGAGGCTAAGCACCCCTGGCTACATACAACCGTGGCCTGTCAGACCTTGTGTTTTAAGGCGCGCGATCGCGCTCGCGCGCCATCGCGCGCCTCGATTGATCACGAGAAGTGCGAAAAACGCGCACCTAAGCATTATCAAATCGCACACCTTTTTTTTTCTTTTTTTGTGTGTTTTATTTTTCATTAATTCAACTTATAAACTCGAAGATAAACGCAAATGGTTGTAAACATCACAGACATTGCCGGAAGTCGGTTCACATGTTTATAACGACAGTCGCAAAGCGCTCTAGAATGACGAATGTGATTGGTTGTTTTTTAGATAAAGTTTTAATAGTCTACTTTGAAAAATTGAGTGTTGTTCCTTTTTGACTAAACATGCTAAATGTGTGATTCAAGTTATCCACATGTCCGAGAACTGATATTTTGTTAGATTAAAAAAAAATCACCTAAAAAATGTCAAAATTAATAGTACAAATGCAGAGCTAATTTTTAGCCCAAAATGCTGGAAATGGCATTTCATGAAGTCTAGTTTTTTAAATTTTTTCCGGGGGGGCATGCCACCGAACACCCCTAGTTTGCCTCGTGACCTGCGGGCACTCCGATGCAAATCACACACCTCGGCGAGCCAAGGTGTGCGATTTTTCACTCGCCTGCTTTTTCCAAAACACAAGGACTGGCCTGTTTATGCAGAAAATCTGGTAGTTTGCTGTGGGGCTTGTGTACACTTGTTTGTATTGTAATGTATCACGTGGTCATGTTATTGTTATTTTTACAACTAGATATATGTATGCCAGTTTTATCATATAACTAGTTAATATCAAGAGAGATTATGTACTCTTGTTAATATATATGTAGGGACATGCGAAAGCAAGAACAGCCTCATACCTTGGGTTGAGGGCAGGTGTACAACTATTTTCATTGGGTTCCGTCATTATACATACATACGTTCAGTTATAACGTACATAAGTAGAACATAAGCTACAACGTACATAAGTCAGAACGTATATATATAAAATATTAGAACGTACATAAGTTCATTATACGTTCAGTCATTTACTCATTATACATACATGTATGTGTAGAGTTATTACTTTCAAAACGTTTGATTTTCGCCTCAAAATCATTTTATTACTGTCATGCATCATTTTACAAAACATGCACTTCTCGTCTGTTCTCTAAAATTATGCTAGTATAAGTTAACAAAGTCAGTCAGGGAGAGAATAATTGTAGTATGAGCGATGACAGACTGCATTCACTAGGGGGTAAAAAAACGCTCATCCCTCTCTGGGAGGGCCTGCTTGCTCAGGCGCACAGCAAGCAGATGGCTTACTACGTCATCATGTAGGAGCAGCAGCTCTGATTAGTCACTGTGTCGTTCATTTGGCCCCGCTGGGGGTGGTGGGCAGGGGGGGGGGGTCTGCTGATAGGCAGATGGAATCCTCCATGCAACACTGAGTAA